GGAAGGAGGGAGGGGGGGAGGGAAGGAGGGGAGGAGGGAAGGAAGGAAGGAAGGAAGGAAGGAGGGAAGGAGGGAAGGAAGGAGGGAAGGAGGGAAGGAAGGAGGGAAGGAGGGAGGGAAGGAGGGAAGGAAAGAGGGAAGGGATGAAGGAAGGGATGAAGGAAGGAAGGAAGGAGGGAAGGAAGGAAGGAAGGAAGGAAGGAAAGAGAGAAAAAGAAGAGAAGAGAGTGAGGGAAGAAGAGACAGAGAACAGGATTTTATTATTTATCTGAATACTTTAAGTTATTTTAAAATTTTTAACTCAAGATAATGCTTGTTCTCCCCAGCACATATTTTTATTTTAGGGATGCAGCTTTAATCACCTAACATGATTTTTTTTTTGAGGCATATCCCCAGGAGCCCTGCTGACCAGTGTTAAAAGTTTCAAAAGAATACATAATTCTATTTAATATATTATGTATCATTTTAAACAATAGCAATTCTGAGGTTCTACACATCTTACATTTTTCACTATTTCTTTTATCAGGTAGCTATAACTTTGTTGCTAATTTGACTAACAAGTCCCAGAGAAAGAAATGTGTTATTTTTCATTAACTTAACCCAGACCTCCCATCTAGGACCTTGTTCCTTCTTCCACAGGCTTACTTGATGAGCTCTGCCCACTGTAGAGACTGTCCATGGAGTCACTGGCTTTGAGGGTGGTCTCTGTGTGGGTCCCAAGCATAGGGTCACTGTTCCGACATGGAAGGGCTTCCTCTCCATCTTCTTCATCCTTCAGAAAAACATCAGAGTTTAAGGTCAGAGAACTGATTTCTACAGAGATGTTCACTGTGTGCATTGACTTAACAAACAAGACTGTAGTTTAGCAATAAAATGCTTAGGAATACATCTACGTAAAATATGAGAGTCATTAATCTTTAGTTCAATTTCTAGCAAAACATTTTATACTTTAATATTGTTTAGATGAAATATTCCAGATTATGGAATTCAGCTGAAATTATAATACTTTATTTTAAAAATTAGGTTGATGCTCTGATCACGACTACTTAATCAGAAATGTTAAATTATTGAAATCTATGCTTTATCTAAGAACTTTTGTTTCTTCATGTTCTCTTTATCATCTCTTTACCACTGCCATCACTAAGCCTTTGAGATCTGATATTACAAGTTTAAACTCTGTATAGTTGTTTCATTTCAGTTATATGCACATCACTAGATCATTAGATATGAATGAAACATTCACACTTTGCAATTCTTAAGAACAGCTTATCTAAGAAACTTTACAAATCTCATATTGTGCTTGCCACCTAGTCAAGTGAAAAGCAAATCTTGGGTAAAATTATAAAGACAATTTCAAAACAAATTACATCTGTTTGAAAACATCTCAAATGTTTTTTATATTTAGATAGTTTGGACAAAACCTAGGGATTCTTTAATATTCATCAAAATGTAGTTTAATATTTCTTATTTTTGAGCATTTCTAAATATTGATAAAACTTCAGAATATACATTTGATATACACTCAGTTTGATTCTCTGTTTTTATCCATTCCTTTATTCATTTGTTCAGTCACTCAATACAAGTTTATAGAACATCTTCTAAGTACCTGGCAGTATTTGGGGAAATAAGGATACCATAGTAAACAAGATAAGAGGATCCTTGCTCTAATGAGGTACATTTTAGTGTGTTGGGCTCTGTGTGCATGTGTGTGTGTGTGTGTGTGCGTGCACTTACATAGTGTTTGGGGAAGTGTGTGTAAACAAAATAAGCAAGACAATTTCATGGAATAATAAGTGCTATGAAGAAAATAAAACTGGATGATATGAGGGGATTAGCTACTGAGATGAGAGTTGGGGAAAGGTTGGCTAATTTAGATGGAGTAGCATCCAGAGACCTTCCTCATAAGGAAATATATGCTCTGAATTCTTGACCTGAATAATAAGAAGATATATCTTATATGAAATTTTGGAGACAGTTTTCTAAGCAAAGGGAACAGCAAAACCAAAATAACTAAACTCAGAATTCACTTAGGTTATACAGGGGAGAACAACAAGGCCAATGTCACTGTAGCTAAATGAAAGGAGAGTATTAGGATATGAGCTAAGAGAAGTAAACTGGAGCCAGATCATCATGAGCCTTACAGACCACATGTGGTGGTCATGGAAATGTGCCACTCAGATCTCTTGCTGTGAAACCCTTCTTTACTGACCACCTCAGCTACTGCCCCTCTTTATCCACCACTATGTTTGCATGGAAGCTATGCTCTCTGCCAATGACTGCAGCAGTAGGGTACTAGTTGAGTCCATTCTGATGAGATGTGAGGCTCCTCTAATGGAAAACTATATTTCAAGGACTCCCCATCAACTCGACCAAAATTTTCTCAGAACAGTGCTGAAGTCTGAGACTACTGATTCTCCTTTCCACTTCTCCTTATACAGATATCAGGCCTTCCATGCCAATTTTTTCACAGGTATTTTACTCCCAAAATCTTTGGTGTCTGCTTCTCAAAGGACTGGAATGAACATGCCACAGTAAGGGAATGAATTATGAAGGTACTGTAAAATTTTCACCAGGAGAGTGATGTGTTCTGAATTCCACTTCTCAGAGATCCTTCTGAGTTTAGCGTGGAGTATGGAGAAAGGTGGAAGAAAGGAAATCAATTAGATGGTTATTAGAGCAACTAGGCAAGAGAGGTTGATTACTTAGTCTAAAGCACAGATAGTTTACATGGAGAAATCAGGGGGTTTAGGTATACTTTAGAGTTAGAACTAAGAAGATATGCTGATGAATTGGTGTGAAAAGTGAGAGAAAGAAGAAATTTTGAATAATTCTTAGCTTTCTCCTTCCCTATCTTTCTTTCTCTCCCTCTCTTCTTTCCTTCCTTCCTTTCTTCCTTCTGTTCTTTTATCTGTCCATCCATCCTTCTTGGCATCTAGAGTAATAACAGTGTTGTCTATTGGTACTTGGGAGAGAGGACAAGAAAGAATTTTTTTTTTTTTTGTATAGCACAGAGAATAATTCAGTTTGGGATATATTGGGTTCCAGATAGTTATTGTACATTCAAGTGATGACATTAAATAAGCAATTGGTTGTGTACATACAACAGATAAGTAAAGAGGTCATAGCTAGAGATATGATTGTGAAAAACAAAGTCATGAGACTAGATAAGAGAGAGTAGAAGAGAGTAGATTTAGTAGAACAACCATAAGCCTCGAGAAGATTCAATATTTGAAGGGATAGGACAGAAAGTAGAAGCAAGAAGTGAAACTGAAAAAGAAGGAAGGCCAGAATGCCTAAAGAAACCAAGAAAAGATACTGTTTCATATATAATAAAATAATCACATGTATTGAATGCAGCTTAAAAGTAATATAGGAAGATAGAAAGTCAGCCACTGGATTTGCAATACAGAAGTCAACACTGATTGTGATGACTGTTTTAATGGAGCACTAGGGACAGAAGTCCTATTGAAGTGGTTTCAAAAGAGAACTGACATAGGATGTATAGATCAATGGGATAGAATTGAGAGTCCAAAAATAAACACATATACTTATGATTCATATATTTATGATCAATTGATTTTCAACAATGGCGCCAAGACAATGCGATAGAGAAAGGACTATCTTTTCAAGACAGTATTAGGACAACTGGATATCCACTTTCAAAAGAATGAAGATGATTTCCAACCACGCACCATATATAAAAATTAATGAATCATGCTCCAAAATTTAAGAGCTACAACTATAAAACTCTTAGAAGAAAACATAGGGTTAAATATTTTTAAACTTACATTAAGCAATGGTTTCCTAGATACAATATTAAAAGCACAAATGAGAAAAGAAAAAGTAGATAAACTGCACTACATTAAAATTATAAACATTTGTGTTGCAAAAACCATCAAGAAAATGAAAATAAAATCTACAGAATGAGAGAAAACACATCATATTGCAAATAATATATCTGATAAGGGACTTGTATCCAGAATATGTTTTAAAATTGCTTAAAAGTCAACAATAAAATAACCCAATTAAAAAGTGGACAAAAGGTCTGAATAAACATTTCTCCAAAGAAGATATGCAAATGGCTAATAAGAACATGAAGAGTTTCTCAACATCATAAGTCATCCGGGAAGCGCAAATTGAAACCACATTGAGATTTCACTTTGCACCCATTAGGTGCAAAAAGACAGACAATAACAAATGTCGGCAAACGTGAAAGAAATTAGAACTTTCATGCATTGCTAGAAGGAATATAATGTCAGTTTCTCAAAATATTGGAGTTACTATATACCTAAGAGAAATAAAAAAATATATAATTCCATGCAAAAACACAAATATATTCATAGCAGCAGTGTTTATAACAACGAAAAAGTGGAAAGAACCCAAGCGTCCATCAACTGATGAAAGGATAAATAAAAGTGACATCTATAAAATAAAATAGTAGTTGGCAATTAAAAGGAATGAAGTACTGATGTTTTCTATAACATAAATGACATGTGATCTTCACATACTACATGTGTGATCTTTTTCAATGTCAGTCTCTTCTTTCAAAATGGGAATAACAATACTTTCTTCCACCCAACTTCTGGGCACAATTATTGAGGGAGAAATAATGTTGAACTCCTTCCTAAAGCACAAGTATTTTTATGCCTAGAAGAACATATTAAATATTTTAAGAAAAAGATAATAGAAAAATACAAGTGATTAACAGAGTACACCTACCTTTTCTTCAGAAAGGGCTTTGATGTACTTTTTACCCACTCTTTTCTTCATTGTCCAGGAAATAGCTCTCATTTTTTTACCTAAACTTCCTCCATGATTTGCAGTTTTGTTTTGTTCTTTACTTTCATTTATAGGTTCCCCCTCATGTACCTGGTTAGAATTATTTACAGAAGACAAGATAATAAAAAGCATTAATCTGAACATTGTTCTATTAGCATAACATAAAATAATGTAATTAATACATTTTGTAATATCTAAGACATTATATAGACTGTATGTGAAATAAAATATATTCACACCTCACCCTTAGCTACTTCTCATATTTCCCTTGATCACCATAGCAGTGTTTCTCAAAATGTGGTCCCAAAAGACCAGCAACCTCAGCATCACTTGGGGACAATTTGCATTTTAACAAACTCTTCAAGTGATTCTGGTACATGCTAAAATTTAAAAACAATTGTAATTAAGTATTGCCATACTAATCCCCTTGCTGTTTCTCTATGTTCTCATCAAAGTTTGTACTTGCTTTTGCCATTGGCTTCTTCTGGAGATCCACAAATATATCCCTTCCTTCATTCCCATTTCTAATCACATGCCAATTAATAGGAAAGAAATTTTCTGATTGATCACCCTATTTAGAATAGCCCACCCTTGCCCATACTCCCTGAATGTTTACCCATCTTCTTCTAAACACTTAACATTACCTGATAACATATTTGTTTGTTCGTTTGATTACTGCCTACATCTCCAACTATGATATATGCTTCATGAAATTAAAGACTTTGTTTTATTTATTCTGAGTGTTTAGAATACTTCCAGGAACATAAATGACCCTCGATATATTTGAATAAGCAATATTTCTCACATAGAACTTTGGAGTGATTTTTTTTCTTGGAAGAAGTATTTGGGTTATGTTTCCTTAGTATCTCAGTTTTTCAAGAAAGGACCCTTGAAGGTTATCTAATTTAGTGCTGCCCTCCATTCCAAATAGCCAGTCATTCCCTGAGTATAAAAAAAATCATAGGAAACTTCTCTTTAGTGAGCTTGAATATTTTAATATGAAAGTTTAACCACATAGTTAACATCATTATTAATCAATATTATGTTTTGCTTCACATCTTACTCTGGATTGCCCATGATAAATATGAATGGACAGCCAATTTAAGCCCTGATTGCACTTTATTAATTTGTACATTCAAGGTTATAAAAGCAAAGACTCTTTGCTTAATTCAAAAACCCTGAATAAAATATAACTTGGAAAGACTTTAAAATTTTAGAGTTAGCTTTTTTCTTTTCTCTTTTCTCTATTTAAACTTTCTCTATGTTCATGTAAAATTGCAAACTAAAATTAATAAAGTACATTATTTTATTATTACTTGTGTTAATTTACCATTGTCTAAAGTTCAAAAAAGTACTACAAATATTTTTAATTTCAGATTTTCCTGTCACTTTTACAGAAGCTTCAAAAAAACATCTCAACATATTTTTAATTTAAAATTTTTCTATGCTATTTTCTTTCATTGTTTGAATCACAATTTTTATTTATTTATTTATTTAGTGAGTTCATTAGTTGTTTTAATCTGTCTCTCCCTAGACTTCAGGCTTCATGAAGTAAAGATTTTCATCTGTTATTATAACAGTACTTTCTGAACACCTAACAGAAATCCTGTAATAGAATAGATATTCAATAAATATTTATTAAAATAATGAATGCTGGATCACTGAAATGCGAACTACTTTATATTAGGTTCACTAAACTTTCACAAATTACTAGGCCACTGTTACTAATCAATGAACTTCAGTGAGCCTGAGAAACTTTTATAGGTTAACTCTAGAATTATAAATTTAATAACAATAGAATACATCTATGTATAATTATGGAAAGTCAAAGATTTATGCAACATACTAACTGAAAACTATGTGGTTCTTCTATTTATATGCATAGATTATATTGTATCATTTACAATTATGTAAATGTTGATAGAACATGTAGATAGATATAAGTTTATCCATAAGTGTGCGTGTGAGTGTATACATGTATAGGTGGATAAAGGGGGTATGTATAATATATACCTATAAAAGGGGATGTATTATACACACACATATATATACTAATGAAGATAGTTCTAAAGTAATCATAGGTGTAATTTTATTTTCATTTCTTTTATTTAGAATACCATTATTGAAATTAGCATATTAAAAATATTATAGAAAGATGTATATAGGAATCTGAAGAGTATTTTGAGAAATTAGATCCAATAAAGAGAAAAATTGTTTATAAAAAATTGAGATACACTAACTAGAATGAAATATTAAGACATACATAAAGTCTAAAACCTATTGCTCTAAAGTAGACGTATCTCATGTGCTACACATGGGAAGCTTTTCTTAAGCTATATTTAAAGTGTGCATGGTTTGCAAATGTATAGGGAATGATCACCACTGAGACATTTCAGTACAGGTGGTAAAAGTGTGAGAGTGCAATTGAGTAGCCATATGCTTTCCTTAAGAAATTTACAATTAAGCTATTTAATCATTTTCTAAGTTAAAGCAATTATAACTTAAAGATAATTCAACATATAGATTGTTTTATAGTGAAAATGCTCAGAAAATTTGGAACTATCTGAGTTACATTAAGTTGTAACTCTCTTAAGTTCATGTTCAGCCTTTTCAAACATCTGTTAGGCTTTTTAGATAACTTTTTATACCCAGTATAGTACTAGGTACTAAAGAACAGTTTGTTCATTTATCACAAAAATATATGCGAGGCTATGATTTTTAAGTTCATTTTTTGTTGTATTTTGCAAAAGTGATACTGGCTTTCTAATTTTTCACAATGTGTTTCCATATTATTCATAAAAACTTTGCAAAAGTGATACTGGCTTTATAATTTTTCACAATGTGTTTCCATATTATTCATAAAAACATAATAAATACTAACCTCAGTTGAGTCATCTGGTTTTGGTATGGAATTATTCCGAAAACGATCAAAATTGCCAAAGCTGCTGCTGCGCTATGATATAAGAAAGAAAGGAAAAGGAAAGGAAATTTAGGATTTGTGATTTTCACTGATAAGAGTACAAAATATATTAGATTATGGTTCAGTAAACATCAGTCTTGCAAATGCAGGATCAAAAAAATTGTCTCTGGAATAGATAAAGGCACTGAAGGCATAACTATTATCAACATTGTAATGTTTATAGTTGATAAAATGTCTTCATATGTTTTATGTTATATTGTTAAATACCTTGGAGAAAATCTATTAAATGTTTATTTTATAGTGTTACTTTTGCTCTTAAGAATGGCATACATTACTAACCCTACAACCAGCTAATAATGACAAAAACCATCATCTGAGAAGATCCAACATTATGCCTCATAAAGATCATATCTGTCAAAAAAAAATGAACACAAATGCATTTCCACCGCTAACTCTTGATAATTTGAAATTTTCTACTTGATGTCAGGAAGAGAAGGCATACACATACATAGACCTACTAATAAGTTGAAAACAACATTTGGGCATGCACAGTCTAAGGTGTGGAGTAAAACTGAATTTTCCCACATTTAACATGAAATTACAGTGAGACCTCTGGGTCAATTTCATGCACTGGTTTTGAGAAAAAGCTTAATATCTTAATAGAAGACTTGTTCCCTTGGTTACATTTTGTCCCACAAAGCTAAATTTTTATTCTTATGCAACTTATTCTAGGCAGGTAATTACAAACAATTCCTGATATGCTGTAAAGTAAATGATTCTCTTAAATTCATTTTCAAAAACATTTAGAGTCATTGAGTCAAAAAATCGATATTTCTTCACTATTTAATTTTATACATCGTTTAGGAAGGTGGATATCTGATATTATGTCCTTTAGGTACCATAAATCCCAAAATATGTTCTTTCTTAAGAACTTTATCTTTTTCAAGCTTGTATTTTCAAAATAAGCTGGTAGTACTAAAAAATATCCTGGTAATCAGAAGAGTTAATAACGAGAGTCAGTAAAATATAAAACTTTGTGTTGTCCTTTTAGAAGTCATAACCCTCTTCAAGTCCTTACAAGCACTGTTAAACTCACCTCTCCCCACCAGCTATTTTTAAAACTCCTTTTCTCCCTTTTAAATGAGCTGAAATAAAAAGATCCTGACATGTGACAAGGGGTTAGCTTGATAGACAGTGTGATACTGAATATTACCCCAAGGATAATGGCTGTGTTAGACACAATTAACGCCTTTTGCTGACTTGCCACCCCTACTGAACAAGCCCTTCAGCTTGTGGCAAAGGGAGAAAAGGAAAAGAGCTGAAATTGAGAACCACCCTCGAAAATACAATCTCCTCATGCTGAGCTTACTAACCTAGGATAACTTCTCAAAGCATTAATCACCTCATCTTGCCTACCAGGCATTTCCACCAGGCCATCACTGCCCAGAGATCACAAAAGGGAATTGAATGTATTGTTGTCCTGCTTATAAACTATCTGAATACAGGGAAATCCGTTACTCTTTTATATATTTGAAACATTCAAAATTGCCTAGGGCAATTTTGTAACCTATATCCAGCCTGTGTCCTGCTTATTAAATATTAATGAGGGTTACAGCATGATTTCCACCACTGGATAATGAGTCGTGTTGCCCAGGAGGGCACAGAATAGGCTCACTTCAGCATTTCTCTACACTATCTTCTACCATTAAGTAATCAGTAGTCTTCACCTTTTAAAATCAATTTCCCCTCATTATATCAATAAAAAGAGGCAGATTTCGGAGTGATGGTTCAAGAAAGCTTTAGGACTATTACTTTGGTTTTGTCAGTCATCTCATTATGAATCACTCAACAGGTTTAAGCCAGAGGTCTACCCATGCTCAGACACTCTTAAGAAGCTACTCTACACTTTTAAATGAATATTTTTAAATTTAAGAATCTACTCTACATTTTTAAATGAACATTTTAAAATTTTCATTATTTGCTAGTCTAGAAGTAAGTAACTTTCTGTGATAGTTTCTCTATATATAGGTTATGGCTTGTGATGAAAAAGGATTAATATCTACTATGAGATATGGACAATGAATAAATTTATAATTTCTACTCCTGTTAAGTTTCTAATGAAAAGGTGAATCATGTGGAAGCAAGTGACTTTACAGATAATAGTCTTTTATAAATGAGAATGTATTTGAATACTGATGATTTTGCATTGCATAATTGTAATGGTTAGATTTACCAAATACTATCTGTCTCATTGAGACAGAACTATTATATAAATAAATAGCTATCAATGGAAGAGTAACAAATAAAAATGCAATTCATATTGTAGATAATTCTTTGTTTCTGTTGACATTAGATCATATTTAGTCTTTAACTAGATGCTATGTAAATCTATATATAGTCTTTTGTTGTCTGATTAGATAAGTGTTTGTAAAATGGCACAACACCTGTGGAGGGTAATTTGGCAACTAGAAAGATTACCTTTATGTTTGCCCTTTGATCCAGCAATTATATTTCTAGACATCTATAACAGAGATATACATGGATATAAATTGACTTAAATATCCACATTCATTGTAAAACTTTTATATTATCAAAAAGCTGTAAACATCAGTTTATTAAGACGGGACTGATTGAATAATATATCATAAAACAATGAAAATGTGTGCTGCTCTAAGAAATTGAAATACATCTGTTTATACTTCTATGGAATGATCAGGATACAGTGTAAGTGAAAAAAGCCAAGTGGAGAAAAATGTACATAGTAGGCTGCCATTTTTCTAAGGGTGGAAATACGAGTGTGTTTTAATACCGGCAAATATATACTTTCCTCCTTAGAGAAATTGGGCAAAATAAACAAAGTAAAAGAGAGGGGAAAGAAAATAGACTTCTCTGAATATACCTGGTTTTGTAGATTTAATTTTAAAACTATGTAACTGTTTCACATATTGTATTTTACATATTTATAAACATGTTAAATAGAAATAAAAACAATTCCTAAATATTCCAGATAAAAATGAACCAAACTTAATTCCATATTGAAGTGGTGGCTTCAAGAGAGTAATTATCCTAAGTGACTTTAAACAACAGTAATGTGATTTTCCAAAGGACAAAAAACAATGCCAAATTAAATTTTAATCGGTTTTCAGTAATCAGATTGTTATTAATAATATTGGCATATATAAATATGTATGTTGAGGGACAATGAAAATAAGTAATGATGTCAATGATATTTGGAGTCAGGAGTTTCAGAATTCTCAAAATTATCATCTTGTCACATCATAAAGCAAGTAAGCTATCAAAGGCTACTGGGACCATGTCAAAACAATACATGGGCTATATTAAAAATATTCTAACTGGAGTAGATTATACCCAAATATGAGATAATTTTGGTATCAATAAGAAGAATAACTGAACTATATTAAAATATATCTAATATATCAAAATTCATGAATTCATAATGATGTTAAAAGAAAATTCAGTAGTTACCTTTGGAAATGTTACAGTGATATTATTAGAACTGTCAAGTAAAGGGAAAGAAATATTTAATCTGTCCTTGTATGAAATATATTTCAGAGTAACTACATACTTAATGAAGAAAAATCTCTCTCATACATATATATTTATGTATAGACTAGCTAATCAATTAATAATGATGTAATTGCAAAATTACCATTTTGTAAACCCTTAATGGCATAATGAATCTAGGAAATGATTATCAATGGCTACTAAAATCACAAAAAGAACTAGAATATATACTTCATGATGGAAGTACCTAATACTGCCAATGAAATATTCTTTAAAAAAATCGGGTACATCAAAATTTTGTATCTCACTATCAAATTAAATACAGAGACAGAGGAGCATGTTAAATGACACCAAGAAGATGCAGTCCATCAAAAATCTAGACAATCAGAAAATCTATAGGACAAATAACCTGAGTTTTTAAAGTAATCAATAAAAAAAAAGGGGACAGGGAAGTATAGATTAATAATCTTTAAGACTTTTATCCACCAAATATAATCCATGATCTTGTTTAGATATAGATCAAATAAACCACTGGAGCAAAAACATCCAGGAGACAACTAAGGAAATTTTTTAAATATCTAGCTATTTGCTGATATTAAAAAAATACAGTTATTTTTTTATTTGTAATTCAAAATAATTTAGTGAAGGGTAGCAAGTATGTGGGCATAAAGAGGAAACATGACTAGCCATAATTTTATGATTAATTGGGTGATGGATATATGAAGCAGATTGCACTACTCTCTACTTTTACATATGCTTCAAAATTTCCATAACAAAATTCTGGATTAAAAAAGAAGAAATGAATTTACAGATTTAGTAATGTGTAGGGACTGGGGTGTATATGGGAAAACTTTATACTTTTAATTTTGCTGCGAACCTAAAACTGCTCTTAAAAAAATAATCTTTAAAAAAGACTTGATGGTAGCATAAGTTTCTAAAGAAGAAATTTTAAAAATATCATTAATATTGCGTAGGTTATAGTTGTTTAGAAATACAGACATATTTAAGGAGAAAATAAACTGTTGCTTTCTGTATTTATTTTAGTACAACTAACTTTCTGATATAAATGCATGTTATTGGGCTACCTTTTGAAGACTGTCTGAGGTTACATGGTGTAGATTACTTTCTTTCACATAGTCTACTTGGTTTTCATAAAAATAAGACTGGACAAGTGTCAGTTGGGGTGTTTGAACACATTTGTTTGCGTGTGTCCCTACACAATGCAATGTATAATTAAAACTTGAAGAGCATTTATTATTTTGTTACTCACATTTTTTCATTAGTTTTGTAATAATTTGAATTATTACGGAATGACATTTCATAATATAAAGCTGGCTGAGTTCTTAGAAATCATCTAGACTTTCTCAATTGGAAACTGTTATAGGAACCAGAACTCACCCCCCTAATCTCCCCACCAAAAAAACACCTTTTTTTTTCAATCCTCTACCCTGATGTACTCTTCTCTCTGTCATTTCATTACAAAGTGTTCATTCTTCTATTTTTAAGGA